TGGCTGACAAAAAAAATTAATCATTTTTAAGTTGTTGTTCAAAAGAGTATGAGTTCAGCAAATCAGTTTATAAGTACATCTTTTTTTTTTTTGCCAGTCCTGGGGCTTGAACTCAGGGTCTGAGCCCTGACCCTGTGCTGCTTTTACTCAAAGCTAACACTCTACCACTTGAGGCAGAGCACTACTGGCTTTTTCTGTTTATGTAGTACTAGGGAATTGAACCCAGGGCTTCATGCATGCTAGGCAAACACTCTACCACTAAGCTACATTCCCAGTCCCAGTACAACACATCTTGATCAATGTCACCCTCTTCCATCATTCTTCCCCATCTTGCTTTTTCATTCCTATGTTCAGGTGTTACATTTTTCAGTCTTTAATTTTATTGCATTTAAAACTTGAGGCATGACTAGAATATTCTTTAATTGAAAGCTTAAAAAGGATTTACTTTTGTTTTCTTCTAGTATTTTGGGGGGCTTATTTTTCTATTCACTTCCTGACCCATTAAATTTTTTTTCTTGATGTGTAATGTAATGTGTGATATCAACTTGTTTTTAGGAGGCTAGCTAAATTTTCTAACATTTCATGAAAGGAATTTTTTTCTCCACTGACAAAAAGAAGTTCCTTTATAATCTAGACACACATACATCAACATACACACAGACACATACATACACAACACTACCACCACCACCACCACCAAAATACTGTTTTTGTTTTTTGCACAAAACATTAGAGAGAGTTCTTTTTAATTTTTTCTGTTTTCTTCTATTGGTTTGTGTATCCACAAGTCTGTGCTACAGTGATGATTTAATTATCAAGATTTAAAAAATCTAGTAGGGATAGTACTTTGGCACTGATAATCTTTTCTAGAGTTTTCCTGGGAACTCTTGTCTATTTTTCTGCATTAACTCATCTTTAGCTTGCCTGGTTCAAAATAAAACTCTATCAATATTTTTATTGGATCACACTAAATTAATAGAAGTTGAGATTTTAGTGATATTGAGGAGGAATAAGCAATGATTATGGGGGGAGGCTTACTGAAAATGCAATGATGTACAGGTCAGTGGAATAAAAGTCAGAAGGAGAAAAGAGAACCAACTGTCCAGGAGAGTTGGGTTTAGCATTCTAGACAAAGGTAACAGCAAATGCAGAAGTCCTGAGGAAGAATGCCTGTGTGTTCAGAGAATGGAGAGAAACCTGGCGTAGAAAATGAGGGGAGGTGAGAGATTTTTCTTTTTTGTCAGTTGTTGTGAGGCTTGAACTCATGGGTTGGGTGCTGTCCCTGAGCTCTTTGTGCTCAAAGCTAGCATTCTACCACTTTGAGCCACAGTATCAGTTCTGTTTACTTTTTTAGTAGTTAATTAGAGGTAAGAGTCTCATTGGGACTTTTCTGCCCACGTTGGCTGCTTCAAACTGTGATCCTCAGATCTCAGTCTCCTGAGTAGCTAGGATTATAGGCATTAGCCACTGGCACCCAGTGAAGTGAAAGGTCTTGATGTTCATTGTGAGGGATTTAGTTTTTGGATGGACTCATTGAGAAATTTTGTGTAGAGAAATGACATCTGATTGATGTTTTAACAGACCTGCGCGGTATTGTTCAATGTAGACTTTAAGGCAGCGTTGGACAAGGGAGAAATGGGGAAACCAGTTATGAGGCTGTTTTCTAGGTAAGAGTGAAAGGAGCAGAGGGGGTAAAAGTGGTGGGAATATGAACATGTTTTGTAGGTAGATGCTTTGTAGGTAGAACTAACACTGGTGGGTTGACCTGCCTATGGGATACGAGTAGGAAGCCAAAAGAATGTCAAGATTTTTTTTTACTTGAGCACTTAGAGCGAAGAGTGGATATTTCCTACAGAGATGGAGAAACTGTGAAGTTTTGGAAGAGGATATCCTATTTTTGGATTCATTTCAGATGTCTATTTCACATTCAGGAGATGCCGGAGTTGTTGAATAATGATTTGGAGTTGCGGGGATATATATATATATATATATATATATATATAAATGGTATTTAACATAAGGAGACCGATTGTAAAAAAGAAGTATAAGAAAAAAAGGATGGTTCTGGTAAAATCTAAGACTGAGAGGTAAGAGAGGTAAGGAGAAATCAGTAAGGGAAACTAAGGAGTGACCAGAGAATTAGGCGAAAACCGATAGTACACCATAAGCTATGTGAGGAAAATATTCAAAAGAAGAGAGTATTAAATACTGCCAGTGGGTCAAATATTCCTACCTACTTTATTAATTTGGCTTTTGTGATAAATTGACTCTTTACCAATATATTCTGTCTGTCGTTTATATACACAGACTATGAATTATGTATTTTGATTCAAATTGAATTCTTAGTATTCTTCGATAATCTTGGATTAACATAAAGCCCTAAAAGTTAATCTTCCAATACCAACAAAAATGCTGCTTTTTTTGAAAAATATTATGATTATGTAGTAGAATGATATTTTTTGCACTCAATGCACAAATATCTTCTTGAATTTATTTAATCTTTATTCCATTTTTTTTTTGGGGTCAGGTTGTGTGACCTGTGCTCTGGGCCTGGGCGCTGTCCCTCAGCTCTTCAGCTCAAGGCTAGCACTCTACCACTTGCATCACAGCGCCACTTCCGGCTTTTTTCTTTTTGCTTATGTGGTGCTGAGGAATCGAACCCAGGGCCTCAGGCATGCAAGGCAAGCACTCTACCACTGAGCCACCTTCCCAGCCCCATAATCTTTATTCCATTTTTATTCCCTATTTCTTTGCTTTTGTCTAATCATGCTGGGTAATGCCACTTGTTCTTTCCTTTTGCTTGCTGGGATTTTCTAGTACCTCTAGAATATTTAAAAAATTGGGTAGGAGTGAACATCCTTGTCATTTTGGGGAAAGCTTTTAGGGTTTCCCTACCAACATGTCCTGGTTGTTTGAGCTGAGACATGTGTGTGTGTGTGTGTGTGTGTGTGTGTGTGCCTGTGTCTGTGTCTGTGTCTGTGTATAGGAAAAATTATTTGCTTCTCTTGAGTTAAAAAAAATCTAAAACACACATGACATCTCTAGAGAGGTCATGCAATATGTCTCCTTAGGTCAACTAAAAAGGTTTTAACATGAATAAATATTGAGTATTTAACTATGGTTGAATTTTTAGGAACAAATGCAGTCACTTGAAAAGCTACCTGAAAGAATTATTGTTGTTTTTAGAATTCATGTTATATAATTTTTTTTATCTGTGCTATATTCAGTATTCTGTTGTTACTGTTGTTTTGAATATGTAGGATAGGTATATATGAAAATGTGATTAAATGCAGAAAAATGTACTGTAGGACTTTTAAATATATACAAAAAAGGGACTTAGCCTTTATATTTTCTTAGACTTCACAAAATGTAGCAGAATCCTAACCACAACTTTTCTTCCTGAATTAGATTATATGTAATCAACAAGTTAATTTAAATATTTGTTTTCCTTGATCTCAGATCAAAGGCTTTTGTGTGTATGTGTGCATGCATGTGCATATGTGTGCCAGTCCTGGGCTGGAACACAAGGCCAGGACACTGTCCCTGAGCATCAAGGTTAGTAGTACTCTATCACTTGAGTCACAGCTCCATTTTCAGCTTTTTGGTGGTTGATTGGAGCTAAGACTGGGCTGGCTTTGAGTTCTGATCCTCAGATCTCAACCTCCTGAGTAGCTAGTTATAGACATGAGCCACCTACACCCAACTTCCTTCAGTTTTTAGTCACTTGCAGTTTACCCTGAAGTAACAATGATTGTGATTCTTTTGCTCTCGAAGCAGTAGGATTTCCTATCTTATTTTGTCTGTATCTATGTGGATTCATTGAATCTGAGAAGCAACTACTTCTTTCATTGAGTTAATCATCTTTTAATCTTTTCTTTTCTTTTTGGCCAGTCCTGGGGCTTGAACTCAGTCCCTAAGCTTCATTTGCTCAAGACTAACACTCTACCACTTGAGACACAGCGCCACTTCTGGCTTTTTCTGTGTATGTGGTACTGAGGAATTGAACCCAGGGCTTCATGCATGCTAGGCAAACATTCTACCACTGAGCCACCTTCCCAGCCCAACTTTTAATGTTTTCTATGACATACTTATTCATTAGTTTCTATCTCCTGTTTAAAGAAAAGTGTGAAATCTTTGAAGGTGGCAAATGTTTTCTGTTTTTGCATAAATACATTATATACACATATGTATACACATGAAAACATATATAGTTGGCTCTCCACTTCTCTGTTTTCTGTTTCCTCTATGGATTAAACTAATTATGGGTCAAACATATTAAAAATTACATCTTTAGTAAACATATACAGACTTTTTTTTTTCCAGTGCTGGGCTTGAACTCTGGGATGGGTGCTCTTCTTGAGCTGCTTTTACTCAAGGCCAGCGCTCTACCACTTGAGCCACAGCACTACTTCTGGGTTTTTCTGATAGTTTGTTGGAGGTAAGAGTCTCATGGACTTTCTTGCCTGGTCTGGCTTTGAACTAGGATCCTCAGATCTCAACCTCCTGAGTATCTGGGATTATAGGCATGAGCTGGGTGCTTGGCTTATGCACAGACTTTTTATCTTGTCATGATTTCCTAAATAGTACAGTATAACTACTACTCAAGAGCATTTATATTAAATTAGGTGTTGTAAATAATCTAGATATGATTTAAAATATGTAGGATGATACACATAGGTTATATGCAAATACATAAAGTCATGTCATATAAGAGATCTGAGCTCCACAGATTTTTTTTTTTTTTTGATGTCTGCAGGGGTTGTGGAACAAATTCTTTTCCTCTCCAATGGGCTGATACTGAGGGATGACTCATGTATATATAACTAATGTATCTCCAGTGCCTCAAAGTGTATGTCTTATATGAACTCAATCTTGAGGAAGTCTTTTAAACAACTTACGTTCAGGGTCAGAATAATCCCACATATTATTCCAAAAGCAATGTAAATCATCCCCTAACTTATAAATGTAATTAATGTAGATTATTTTTCTCCCCTCCCCAGATTCATCGAAGCAAGAACAAATGGAAATTCTATTTGAAAGATGGTGTTATGTGTTTTGGAGGGAGAGACTATGTATTTGCAAAAGCCATTGGTGATGCAGAGTGGTAAACGTTAGGCGCTTATTGTTTCGATTTTGTAATTATCAGTGGGGGTTCATTGCACATTGTGAGGCATTTTTATTTTAAAGATTGTCCATCACTGAGCTACTCAGATTTTCAGTTCTCTATATGGAATTAAATAAAGTTACAATCCAGATGCAGATACAATGTACAATTGTATATTTATTTTGTTTTCTGTTTCAGCAGGTCCTCCCCTCCCCTCATTATCTATGCCATTACAAATCACAGTTGCATTGAGTGTGACAGACCATGATGAAATGTCACATTGTTTTCTTTTTTTGGGGGTGGGGTAGGGTGGGGAGAGTGGTCCTGGGTCTTGAACTCAGGACCTGGGCACTGTCCCTGAGCTTTTGTGCTCAAGGCTAGCACTCTACCACTTGAGCCACAGCTCTATTTCCAGCTTTTTGGTGATTATTCAGAGATAAGAATCTCATAGACTTTTCTGCCTAGGCTGGCTTTGAATCAAGTTCCTCTGATCTCAGCCTCCCGAGTGGCTAGGATTATAGGCCTGAGCCACCGGCTCCTGGCTGTCGTTATTCTTTGAAGGTACAACTTAAGATCCCAATGCCCCTTGTAAAACCAGTTATGAGGTGGAAGGCAGCATTTCTTCCACCCATCACTGACTGTTATGTTACACAAGGGTCCTGGAGAGTGTTTTCAGTAGGTGGGGAACATCTCACAAAGCTTTTCTGAGCCTAAGTGGATCGCTGGCAATACGATGACGATGTAAGCTCAGATGATCCCTAGAAAGCAGATGTATATGCTCTTATTTAAGCAAGACAATATCTGTTGAGCCCAGCGTCTTTGAGCTGAAGGGTAGCCTCTCTAATTTATGTGGTATTCTTAGGCAGTTTTAAGGAATTAGAATAGAATCTTGTGCTACTTCTTGGAACTTCAGACATCTGTCTTTTTCCTAATCATGATAGGATTTAACCTCTTTTCTACTTAAAAAATATTATAGTGGAACAACCCTCTGCCAACTCTTTAGTGTAATATCTGATTTTCCTTTTTCCCTATGACAGAGACACTTCTCCCCCCTTCTAGTTTAAGTTTTTAAAAGCAAAAACCAAGAAGAGATTATTTCTGGAGCTTGGGATGCCTCAAGAGGTAGAGTGCTTGCCTGCCATGTACAAGGCCTTGGGGTCAATCTCAAGTCTTCTTCCTGCCCCCCCCCCCGCCTCCCCTCTTCTTCCCTCCACCCCCTTCCATCTACTTTGGCCAGACTGTCTTCAGTTGAGTAAAGAGGTTTGGAACACCATCTTTCAAATCAGGAAGAGGAAAAAAAAACACATAAAACACAAATGGCCCTCATTTTACTGCAATAATAAAATCAAAAGCAAATTAATATCTCAGTGAGCTCTTCTATAATACTTTCTCCCTTAGTAATGCTCAATTTCCTAAAGGGACATTTTCCCCATACTTTACTCCCCTTAACAAGTGGGGTCTTTAGGTCTAGGAGCTCTAGCTTCAGGCCTGAATAGTGTTCTTTGGGATCACAACTGGCACAAAACCAAAAGATGAGTGGGTACTGGTTTACAAAAGCTTCCTAAGAATTCACTATCTGGATCTTCCTGGGACTGGGGCAAATTCCCTACTTCTTTTCACTAAGCAGCTTTACATGGAGAGTGTGATTTATCCTACTGAAGGGACTCAGCTTTTGGCCTATCTTTTCAAAATCTAGATGAATTTCTTCTGGGCCTTGAAGGTCAGATATTGCCTTTGGCCTAAAGTTGGACACCTTGTGAGGATTCAGGTAGTCCTAGTGAGTAGGCTGGTCCTCCACCCAAGTTCTCTGCTATGTTCTCTTTATCTTCCCAGATATGGCCTTTCCCTATGACCACTGCTGCTTGAGATCCTGATCTGGTTCTTGAGAATTCCAGGGAGATGTGTAGTTATTGCTCTACAGTGGCAGTTCTCTTTTTCTAGGTGGACAACAAAAGGCACTTACTGTGTCTGACTCTGAAATGTACCTTCTTCAGCGCTGAGGAGTATGGTTCCTAGTCTCTGTTTTCTCCTTCCCAGTTTTGCCTGGTCACTCCGTACTTGCACTAGGTGATGCTTCTTATAAATTGAGGATTTGATTTATTGGCAGGATATACTTACCTGGGAAATAAGGTTTGTGTGCATGGGGGAAGTTCATGGAGGAGGTCGTAATAGTTGTTCCTCAGATTCCTTTCCCCTTTCTCATGAACTTTAAAATCTTACTTAGCTTTCACCATGTTTAAAAAATAGAGTACTACAAATACTATTATATACATCCTTTTTGTATAGCACATTTTATCACCAGGGAAAAAAGTCATGATAGACACATTGGTCTATTATTTAAAGAATGCAGTAGACATTATGAACACATTTATTGACATCTTAGTAAGAGATCCTTACTTTATGTGTGGACATAATATGTTTTTGAGAAAGCCAAAACCAAGCCTCCTCCCTTAAAACAAATGTAATAAATGAAGAATAAATACTAACATCTTTTAAAAGTTACCTTGTACATTTAGACAAGTTATTCCAAGACTGGTATCTTATATTAATATCAAGAATGGTGAAAAAATACAAGACAGAAATATGAATTCATTAGGCATCTGAATTTTTTATGACGTAGTTTTGAAGTATTATAGAGAATCAGAACACATCCTATTAACAAGGCTGTCTCATATGGGAATAACTTCTCACAAGGACAGTTTTATTGTAAAGGTTACTAATAATACCCTAGTATAGGGAAAGGAGTGGTATTGATAAATGTTGAAGTCCAAAGGGATATATATTGATTAGTTACGGCCTACTGTATTTCATGTAAAGAGATATCTTAACAATAGTCAACTAAGGAGGGAGTACATTAAGGAAAGTTTGATTTTAAAAAAAAGGCAGACTTGTAGCTGGGACCTTAAGATGGAAAAAATCACAGGTAAGGGACAAGTTATTCAAGAATGGCGTGGGTCCCGGTATAGAAATACTAAGGCATGACTAGGTAGAAGAAATGGGGGCAGTTTTTTTCATATAGAAAAACAACAGGAATAGAAATGAGTGGTTATAAAGGATGGGCTCTGTAGCTCTCTGAATGTTTGCCTGGGAGCTGAAGTTTAAGTTTATAAGTACTGAGAAACTGCTCAGGCATTTTGTGTGGGCATATAATGAAACAGGATTTTAGGAAGATTAGTCAGTGATAGCGCATGTAAGAGTGTGGACATGGGAAAGCCCAGATGTGAATAAAAATGAGCAGTTCAGGAGTGAGGGGCTCTGTCTGAGATGTAGGTGTGGCAGTGGAAATACAAAACAAAGAATTGGCTTGGAAGGCAATTCAAATAGTAGGTTTTATTGATGGAAAGGTGTGGGATTGAGGGAGACAATGACCTCTGACTATTTCTATTGAAACCTCAATTATGATCTACAAAAGTAAAGATCATTATGTGTGCCAACTTCCTTTATATACATTTGAAAATATCCATTACAAATCATTAGGGAAATTTAAAGAATTTGAATGCATAATAAACCTTGGATAACTGATATATATTATAGGAGTCAGCAAAACAGTGAATAAGAGGCTGAGATCCCAAAGCAAAGCTTTGAGTTTGAATCCTCTTGAGTTGAATCTTTTATTCATTTTGGTTGGCAACTTTAGCAATTGGAATAAGTTTTCATTTCCTATACCAAACAAATAACATGTACATTATAGAGTTTTATGAGTATTCACTAGATAAAATTACATAATGTAGTTACCAATATGTTTGGCATATAATGAACTTTCAATAAAAATTATTTTTAAAAAGGAGAAAACAAAACACTGCGGTTTGAACCATAGTTTTGTTTTCCCACAACCAATTTGAACAGCTAAAAATACTTCAGCTTGATGCTGGTGGCTCACACTTATAATCCTAGATACACAGAAGGCTGAGAATTGACGATTGCTCTTTGGAGCCAGCTTGAGCAAAACAGACTGTAAGACTTTTATCTCCAATTAACCAGCAAAAAGCTGGCAATGGAGCTGTTACTCAAGCGATAGACTACCAACCTAGAGCAAAGTTCAAGCCCCAGTACTGGCACTCATACACAAAAATATTTCCTAGAAAAGATTAAAAGCACTTTTCAATAATGTGAAATGGATAGAAATAATTCTTTACAATATTTGACCATTTTCTTTGACTTGAAAATATAGGGCCCTAGAATTTTTTTTTTATAGAGTTCATAACTTCAAATAGGTCAGCACATTTGATGTGTATTATTGCCAGGATCCTGAGGTAGGAAATGGGGAAATGAAATGGACAGAGACAGGATTCCTACGCATGAGTGTACCCTCTACAATTTAATATTTCATTGCTCTTTAGAGAAACACCAAACAGGCTGAAACGTGCTGTTAGAAGTTTAGATTTTGAAGAATGCAGCTTGTTCATGTCCATGTAGATCATGTGGGAGATAGACACGTGTTTAGAATAATGCTGCCAAATAGAACTCTATAGCAATGGAAGTGTTTGTACTAGTCACATGTATAAATTAGTGCAACTAAGAAGCTACAAGGTTTTGTTTTATTCAATTTGATCACACATGGCCAGTGGCTACCAGGTTGCACAGCACATATCTTGAGTATATTTCTCAAGCTATCTGAGGAAAAAAAAAGTACTTAAAATTTCCAATCTGAGCGAGGTGCTGGTGGCTCATGCCAGTAATCCTAACTACTCAGGAGGCTGAGATTGGAGGATCGAAGTTCAAAGCCATCCTGAGCAAGAAAGTCCCCATGAGACTGTTATCTCCAATTAAACATCAGAAAACCAGAAGTGGAGCTGTGGCTTAAAGGGGTAGGGTGCTAGCCTTAAAAGAGTTCAGGGAGGTCTGAGACCCTGAGTTCAAGCCACATGACTGACAAAAAAAAAATCCCAGTCTGTTATGAGCTAATGAGTGCAATAAAAATTAGGAAAAGGAAAGAGTTCAAAGGCTTGAAAAGCATCACATTAGATTAAACAAAAAGTACTCTCAAGGGGGCTGGGAAGGTGGCTTAGTGGTAGAGCGCTAGCCTTGAGCTGAAGAGCTAAGGACAGCGTTCAGGCCCAGAGTTCAGGCTCCACAACTGACAAAAGAAAAAGTACTCTCAAAATTGTTACAAAAATTTCTAAGCAATCTTGTCTTCTGAAATTTGTGTCATCATGCATCAATGACAGAAGGTTCTTACTGGCACTGGTTATGAACCTCACATTGAATGAGGTAAAAAGTCTCTTGCCTCTGGTGCCAAAGAATAAACAATTTCCTAAAACCAAGTATTTATGTTAAAGTTACTGGTTCAGGTAGTTTGTTTTGTAGCTTCAATAAATTTAGAATTCAATAATGCAGTTACTTCTATTAATAGTTAAAACTGTTGACAACAAGTCTTGTCTAGGACGGCTCAATATTGACAGTGTAATGGGGACAATTTTAAGGTGGCTGGAGAAGTCTTCTTTGATGCTGTGGGGCCATTCTTGCAGTTGGAGATATAAGCAGAACATTCTTTCCTTCTATAAAGTTCAGCCCGACGTTTACAGCAACCAAATTTGCTCAGCAACAGAAAGAAATCTCTTCGGAACGCCTTTGTGAAAATTGCATACAGAAATGGATTGGCACAAGAATTGACAGGGTAAAAAAGAACCAGGAGAACTTTGGAGTTGGTGACTGTGATAAGGGGCACTTTGAAAGCAGCCGAGATGGCAAAAAAGGAGATAGGGGCCATGCAGGTAAAGTCAGTGAAGATAAGGACCGCCATTTTCTTAGCGATCTTTGTGTCTTTGTGGGTGGCCATCAGCTCTGGATTTTTAACTGCAAAATAAATTTTGATGTAGCAAGCACAAATGACAACGAAGGCCACCACGTTGAGTATGAGGATGGTTAGTATGTAGACTTGGGAGACCGTGGTCTCCACATCCATGGGGAGGCAAATGCTGACCTTCGTGTAACTGCTGACGCCTACAAGGGGCAACCCAGCAATCAGAGTGGAAAAGAGCCATCCTCCCAGCATGATGGGGATGGCGTGTCTCAGTCGCAGCTTCTGGTCCAACTGAACAGCATAGGTGATGGTGTGCCATCTCTCCAGGGTGATGATCGTAAGGGTGTAGACAGAAAGTTCACTGGCAAAGACAGTGAAAAAGCCCGCGGCACTGCACCCACTTCCCGTCTGCCAGTCGATGGCATGGTTATAGTACTGGCCTTTGGTCTGGGAATCAACCCAGGCAATGAGCAGCAGGTAGAGCCCCATACAAAAGTCTGCAAAGGACAGGTTGCACATTAGGAAGCGGGGCACGGTCAGTTTATAACGACTCGTGAGGAGGACAAAGAGGACAGTCACATTTCCCATGATGGCGAGGATATTAATCAGCCAGATCAAGACCCTGAGGAAATCATAGCCCATGATATCTTCACAGGGATTGAAGGCATCTGGTTCGGGTGCACAGCGGAGGATCTTGGGAGAGCAGAAACGATAGTCATAGTCCCAGCCACTCAGTTCACTCTCCGCAAAGATGGCAGAGTAACTGGAAGAAGAACATTGGCTTGATGTAAACTTAAGAGATTTCCTAAGATTCTGAGAATGTAATTCAAGAACAATCTTAGTGGTTTTTCTTTTTTGTGCTAGTACCGATCTTGAACTCAGGATTGTAGCTCTCCTTTGGCTTTTCCACTCAAGGCTGGTCCTCCAGCACTTAGAGCCCTCACCTCCACTTCTGGCTTTTTGCTGGTTAATTGGAGATAAGAGTCTCCTGAACTTTTTGCCCCAGCTGGCTTTAACTTGCTGTCAGATAGCAGTCTCCTGAGTCGTTAGGATTACAGGCATGAACCATCAGCATCCAACTTCTCAGTGTGCTTTTAGGTAGGGAGAGCGAGAGAAAACAAAGCCACTATCGCCCCAGCTTTACATTTATTTGTCAAATTATCTGATTTGGTGGAGTTCTTTAAGGAAGGAAATGAAAGCTATTTAGACTCTCTAGTGAATATCTTATCTATCACATTGATTCAAAGACTTAACCAAACTTTTTCCAGAGGATGGTTTGTCTGGAAAACAAATTCAAAGTCATAATATGTACTGGCTAAAAAGAATCCTTCTTGGCATTTTCTTAGCAATTTATCTCATTTAGTTACTAACCAAATTGCTCCCAAGCTGTTTGTCATAGCACAGAAATGCAATTGGAAGGATTGAAGGATCAGCAGCTACTGATGGACTAGTTTGCACCTAGAAAATAGAATAACCCAAATGCTAACCAGAAACCCAGAGCATATTACTAGAAACCTAGGGGTAAGGGAAGAGAGTTCAAGGATAACAGAAGAAGTGACAAAAATACTCTTGTCATAGTAGACAGAGACTGTTCCTAGTGAGCAGTCCCTTCATTTGATCACTTCCACCGCTACTTCGTGAGTTGACCTTTGTGTCTTTTGTGCGGAGCCATTAGTTTTCTTTGACATCCTTTTTCCAGTGTTAGCCCTCCCCCCATTCTGGCTTACTCAGGGCTCACTGACAATACGATAAAATCCACAGTTTAAAAAATGAACCTCAGATGCCCTCCTTGACCTTGGTTTTGCCTGCTTCTCTGGAAAGCTTCTCCTTCTGCTCATCTCTCCTGCGACTTCTCCATCATCTTGGGAGGAGTCTCTCATGAAGCCTTTCTTGATGTTACTCCTCAAGGGATTTATTATTTTCTCAGCTAGATCTGCCTTAGTATTAGTGCAGTTATCAAAGCATGTGCAATTAAGCGATGATGAATGTCTGTCTGTTGAGTAGTCTCATAGTTCGTGAAGAAAAGGGCAAGGCCTTATTTCTGAAACTATAGTGCTTAGTCCAGTTTTGCCTCAGAGTATTGATTCAACGAATATTTATGGGGTAAATAAACATAAACCAAAATGATTCTTGCTCTGGAATGAACTTATAGGATTCAGAGACAAGGAGCATTAACACCCAATACAGTTATCTCAACAATTTGTTTTTCTTTGCTTACACTCTGCTCATAGAACATTGAGAGCTGAGGAAATGGCATAATTTTCTGTCAAGGCCATTGCAAATATGTATTTCACCATAAGGTCTCCTTACTGTAATGGTAAGTGTGTATATAATTCACTGAGGAGATGCAATAATACATTTGAGGATTTCCATACTGAGAGGAAAGCACAGATTAAAAAACAAAACAGAACAACCTCCCCTTCCCCCCTCAGAAGTCTGTGACCGATCCTTCAAAATGATGTGATAGTAGCATAGAAACTGGTTTGGATTTGGAGAAAATCTGCTATTATATGAAAAGGGTGGTATAGGAATCCCACTGTTTTATTATTGGATCTCCTTGTGGAAGAACATTGTTGGTCTTCTTATTCACAGACATCAATATAATTATGCATTTTTAATTTCCAAAGAGAGAAGATAGTTATAAAGATCTAATAAACAAAATACATGCTTTCAGCATCTGACTGACCCCTCATTTTATTAGACAGGAAACCAAGATGCAAGAAGAAAGTGACTTGTCCAAGGTCTCTTAGCCAGACTATAGCAGCATATCCATAACCCAGAGATCTTTATTTTCCTTTATCATTATTCAGGCAGTGTTTCTCCAAGGGTGATCCTTGAACTACCTAAATCAGAATCACCAGGGTGTTTGCCTAATGGCTGCAGATCCCTGACTTCAACTCTGGAATCAAAATCTCTAGGGACAGAGCTCAGGAACCTGCATTCTAGAGTGGTCTGTCTGGATGACTCATATAAAATAATAGGCAAAAAAAACAAGTTAAAAACATTTTAACTCTTGCGGCTCTGATTTCTTTTACTCCTTTTTCCTTATGAAAGCTACTTCAGCTTCTTGGGGCACTCATTTAAACTTCTAAAATCTCTACCAGTATTTTTGAATACATTTAAGTAAGAGGCCAACCATGTTTCCTCTCCTGTCCTTCCTTGGTTTTGTGCCCTTGCGTCTTTTACCCTACCAGGCCTCTGTTTGGCAATTATTTTCCTTGGTGCTTTGTCTATAGACCAAAAACCTACCTGCTGCTACTTACATTTGTGTCTCTGGCTGTTCCCGAGGGCAGCATCATGCCTATTGACAAAGCCCGGCACGAGCTGTCTTTAGTGCTGGAGGCTGAGACAGAGAGTGTGAATGGACTCACTGGGCTCACTAATGTGGAGTCAGAGAAAACAGAAGCAGCAGCTCCACACTCCAGTGACAATTACAAAGGAAAGAGAAGACATGGGAATTTTAGGAGGCCTGTGAGATCAGCCAAAGCCGTGAGAATATTGTGTTACCTTGGGAAGAACAAGTCAGGCTTGGCCAGCTTGAGAAGTTCTGAACTCCAGGGAATCAAAATGGCTCAAAATGGTGGGAAGTAGGAGATAGGGGCTTTATCATAAGCATATTTTCACAAGGATCCATCTCACTTAGATCATGTATTAGTTTAGGGGGATACTGGATGCTAGGAGACTTTGTCTTAAAGCAGTGTTATTGTAACACTCAAAGTTGTCCACTCACTTGGAAGGCTGGATTACAGGAGAAGAAACTCAAACCACCCTTGGTGCTGCCATTGACTCTACCCTGAAGTGGTTTCCTATGGATGAGCAGAAAGCCACATGATTGTAAAAGGGTTCTATGGAAGGGAACTGATACGGAACAGAAGGAAGAGTGGGAAAAGGAATACTGGGGGGCAGATAGGGGCAGACCTAAATGAAAGAAAAGGCAGAGAAAAAGCAGAATACCACCCTGTGTGTTACTGTACATTAGCAACTCCTTCCACTCCCATGGCTCTGAAAGCCAGGGGAAATTTCTGCTATTCTATACTGATAAGGAGTGGAGCCTTAAAAAAGATAATGCTCATCCAGAACTATTATCCTTCAAAAAGAGTAAATATTGCACCCTGTGTTGCAGTGTGCCATGGATTCCTATCTCACTCTGAGGAACCCCAAAGTCCTGGGTCCTTCTCCTATAACCCCGTTACCTCTGTATAGTAGAGAGAGAGAAAGAGAGAGAGAGAGACAGACAGACACTGACAAGGTATGTTAGACTGGAATCTGCTTTTGTGGTCTTAAGGACACCTGGGAGGAATAATAAAATTTCTCAGTCTCAGTAACTGTGGCACAGGGACTCTGGGCTTGTCTTTTGAGGCATGCTCTTTTCCAGTGGAAAGTAAGTGAAATGCCAAGGTAGTCAGCATTTAAAGTAGGAAAAATGTTAAAAATCAGTCAGTAGAATAGAAATGTAGCTTCCATGAAGTCGATGGTAGTGATGGTATTAAGATTACCTTTAGGCTTGGGAACACAGTGGTCAGGGAGGCCTAAGTCTTTTTGAATTGAAATAGCTACTTCTGGAAGCTATGTCTGCAATAATTTAATCTTTGTGGACAGGTGGTTATATGGCTCGTGAACATTCCTGCATATGAAGGCATCATTTAGACCAGTGTTTGGTGACTTCCATGTGCCTGCAAATAAAACTGCATTTTTTGAGAATTTAATGCAATTATAGAGTGAACACAAGTACTTTTTAAAAGAGGCTTTTGTTTTGCTCTGTTTTTTTTTTTTTAACAGTTGAGACACCTGGCCAACTAGCTGTCACAAGGAATAAAATTCCCATTTTAAACTATTTGAAAGGTATCTTTACAAACATTTTCTCTAACCAAGACATTTAGCAAAAGAAAATAGTTGCACTAATAATAATACAGTACACACAGAACAAGATATGACTCCCTGAGTCTCATTGCAGGTAAAATACTTACAGGGTTTCATTATTTGGTTTTCTCACTGTGCTTTCACATTGTTTGGAAAAGTTTTCAAAAATGGAAAATGAAAAATTCTGTCTGAAAGAGATGTTAAAAAAAAGCAGTTGAGCTTTTCATCTTTAAACCCGATCATGTCTATTTATGCTTTGTTCGTCCCAATTCTTTACCTATTCACCCCACTTGCGTGATCTGCCCCATTGTCCTAACTGAAATTTTTTCCTGATGAGAGAGTAGAGCTTTCTGAATTGTTATTCAGCTGCCTCCAGCTTAGATAAAATGCTTCTGAATGCTAAGTGTTTTGTGTGGGCTCTAGAGATGAAAAACGTAAATATGTTGTATTGAATCATGGATTTTTTTTTTCAGAGCGTATTAAAAGCTACCTTTATGGTGTATTCAGTTTGCTCCTTACCAACTCTCTTCTCCTTATTGGCCTTGATTAAACCACTCAGAGTTCATGGCTTTGAATTTTATTTGTGAATCTTTGTGTAAGGATTCGAAGATGCTGGACATGACATTATACAGTGTGAAGTTTAGACCTTTTGGTTATGTGCAGAAACTACTTTGGAAATGACAAGAAAATGAAACAAGGTTTGCCCTCTCCTATGGGAATATGTTTGTAGGTATAAAACCTAGGGCATGTTAAAAAGTGAATAAAGAATTAGGAGCAAGGAGCGCCACTGTGAGAGTCTGAGCTTCCACTGAAGAGGAAGGAAAAACTGAGGTCATTCAACTTCTCCCTTGACAGTGAGACATTTCCTTACAGGAATAACTTTATATGAAAACAGAAAGGTAGCCATTATGGCAGAATTATCTGACCTATGAGGCTCTCAAAAATTAACCAGCTTGTTATTTTGGGTTAGAATCATAAGTTCTTAAACTTGGTCAGATAGTGCGTGTATGTATGCGTGTGTACGTGTGTGTGTGTGTGTGTGTGATATGCTGGCTTTGACTCTGTATCTGACTGACAGGAGATATTGTTTTCAGACAAATTCATAGTGAACAGGAAATATCTACTCTGTCAGTTTTGAAATGTGAATCATGGATATGAAGGCACTCTAGGGGTTCATCTGCCCGGGCAGCATTGTATTATCTAAGCAGAGGATAACTGAGAGTTTGTACAGACATCCTATGGACCTAACTTCAGGCTCCTTATCCTCACTAGCAAAAGGCTTTAGGGAGTCAGCTTGTAATTTCAGTCAAGACAACCTGTGTGTACAAGCATTCCAATCTCCCTCACATACAGGCCCATAATTATAAAGCCCTCTTTTTAGTTTTGCTTTTGTTTTTTAAATATCCATGGGTAATATCTTTCAAGGGGAAGAAAAGTCTTGAACTGAAGAATTATAGGTCAGTAATGTCAACAAAAAGGGAACCTCTTTGCCACAAAAGTGTAGGTGTCTGTACTCAGCTTTATCATCAACCCGCATCTATGTTGTTCAAATCCTTCTCTCATTCTCTTGCTCACCATCCGCCCTCTCTTGACATTGCTGCTGCAGTGAGATTTTTTTTTTTTTGTCGGTCGTGGGGCTTGAACTCTGGGCCTGGGCGCTGTCCCTCAGCTCTTCAGCTCAAGGCGAGCGCTCTACCACTTGAGCTACAGTGCCACTTCCGGTTTTCTGGTGGTTTGGAGATAGGAGTCTCAAGGTCTCTCCTGCCCGGGTTGGCTTTGAACCATGATCCTCAGATCTCAGCCTCCTGAGTAGCTAGGATTACAGGCGTGAGCCACCAGCGCCCGGCTGCAGTGAGATTTTATAAAAGTACATTTGGCCAATCTTGCTTTAAATTCTTCATTGCTCCTTATCCCTAAGCAACTTCAGCTAGCACTCAGAGCCCTTCTATGCTCCACTTCTCCCTGGCTCATCTCTCTCCATCTAACCATAAGTCTTCTTGCTCTAGTTTTTCCGAATGACATCCATCTAGTGTCTCTTACCTATGTGTTCTCATATGAATGAGCCCTTCTTGGCCTTATTTTCTTCACACTGTTTCCCCAAGACTCAGTATTCACTTTCTTTTGAAGGCCTTCCATAAACCCTGAATATTTATACAGTCCTGTATGGCCAGTGCATTCTTCTCCACTCCCAACTCTGCCATTACACCTGCTAATCTAGGTATATTGCCTGTGTGTGTGTGTATGTGTGTGTGTGTGTGTGTGTGTGTGTGTGTGTGCCTCATAGGCAGTTTGGGTGATAGTGAGCTAGCTCTTAGTCTTTTTCTTTCTTTTTTTTTTTCAGAGTTGGCACAGTAGTTGGAACATATCGAGTTCACAGTTGAAGCTCAGTTACCGGTGTGTGACTTGGATACTATAAATGTTATGTCTTCTCAATTTGCTTTAAATTTTCAGGTAGAATCAAGTCGATCTACACAGGCACAAATGATTGGAGGTGCTTGACTAGCTATAAATAGATTAATTCCAAACAAAGACAGCAGAAGCCAAGTGTTACTTTCTCAGTGTCTTGTCTAATTAATTGATTGAGAATATCTCTGCAGGCTACAATAGTAACTCTTCAGGGCAGTATTCCCTTCCCTCTCCCCCTGCTGTGAGTTGTGACACATTAGTGGATTATGGAAACAATAGAGCATGTGAAGATTGGCAGTGGAAACAAACAAACATGCTGTAGAATAGAAGAGGATAGACATTATCAGGATGTATCTCATTTTAAGTTAAGTATTACTTTTTTTTTAAGTTACAGTGCTACTAAAGGTGCTTTTTAACTGTGCATCTTCATCAACGCTGTAAGAATGAAATCTTGCCCACCTCTGCCAACCAATATGGAGGTCTGTGATTCAGTAAGTTGCCCTCTACGGGGCACAAAGCAGCCAGGAAGTTGTGCCTTTTCATTTGCATATTAAGCGAATGAAGTAAAGGATGTTTTCTATTGGGAGAGAAATAGCTTTAAAAATAAAACACCTTCTGCTTGGGCACCGGTGGGTGGCTCATGCCTGTAATCCTATCAATTCAAGAGACTGAGATCTGAGGATTGTGGTTCAAAGCCAGGCTGGGCAGGAAAGGCCATGAGACTCTAATTCCAATTAACAACCAGAAAACTGGAAGTGGTGCTGTGGCTTAAGTGGTAGAACACTCGCCTTGAGCTGAAGAGCTGAGGGACAGGGCCCAAGCCCAGAGTTCAAGCCCCATGACTGACAAAATAAAACAAAACAAAACCCCTTCCTATCATATTTTGTATCCATTTTAAATGGAAGATTAAGATATTGGGTAACATTTATTCTCCTGAATCTGCCTCCCTCCACTTCTTTAAAACAGTGATGCTTTTTGCTAAGGATTAGAGCTGATTAATGCCAGTTTTTGATGTATTTTTCAATTACTAAAATAGGGTATAAGTATAATTCAATTAGTTCAGAATAGGCTACTGAGGTCTTTTAGCTGCAGGGAAAATCAACTGCTTGGCAGTAGTTTTTATAAGGAAATGAGACAAGACATTTTCTTGTCTATCTGCAAGTGACCCCATAGCAGTGTTGGCAGGAGGGCACTGAGGGAGGGGCAGGGAGCTGTCCACCAGTCCACCAGGTTTTCAGATCTGAGTTCCTGCCATAGCTGGGCAGGCTCCCCCTCCCCCGCCCTCTCCCCCATTTTGTTTTAACTTACTCTTTCTTCGGCACATTCCTAAAAGCGCAGCAGTGGCTAGGGTAAGTCAATGTGGCATCCAGAAGATTGGCAAATTTCTCTCTTGATGGCAGTGTTTTGAGAGAATAAGAGGACGTGGCAATTAGTGTCTGAATGGCCTCCAGCCCATGGCTTGGCAGGGTCTGCAAGTTAGTGGAAGAAATATCCCTGAACCATTCAGGGGAGAGAGGCTTTTTATTTATTTTACACATTTGATTCTGAGAATGAACCCTCCCCCCGACCCTGCTACAGTCCTGTCATTTCAGCTTCTGACAGATCTGTTCTCCATTTTGCTTTTCCTCTAATTCTCCATTTCAGCGACTCTCATTAAGACCTGAATCTAAGAAAAAGCCACGCTGTATGTTTTTTTCATAGGCACCCCATTATTCTTTTCAAGGTTGGGTATAATTCCTTGTACCTGCCATACATTCATTAGCATTTCTCTCCCTTCTCCTTCCCTCTTTCTCATCCACTTAGCAGACTCGAAATAACTGCTTGCTTTATGAGGCAGCAGCACCTGAAGTGACATCAGCTTTTGTGCTTCTACCCCAGGGGGGAAATAGGGTTTCAGGTGCCTCAGTCTTTGAGTGATCAAACCCTGCAGAGGAGGTTGTCATGAAGTGCAGGCTGGTTACCACGTTAAGAGCCACTGTGTTCCATTCAGCCTTTGCCCTATTCTACCTAGGAAACAGAATTGCAGGTTCCAATTAGCTACCCAAAAAGCTGGAGGAGCTGTGGCTCAAGTGGTAGAGCACTAGCCTTGAGCAAAAAAGCTCAGGGAGGGGCTGGGAAGGTAGCCCAGAGGTAGAATGCTTGCCTCACATGCATGAGGCCCTGGGTTTGATTCCTTAGCCCCATATAAAGGTTGGAAGTGGCACTATGGCTCAGGTGGTAGAGTGCTAGCCTTGAGCTGAAGAACTCAGGGACAGTGCCCAGGTCCCGAGTTTAAGCCCCAACACACACACACACACACACACACACACACACACACAAAGTAGTTTACCTATATGGACAATGATACCTAGGTGTTGAGGAGATACCCAGATGAAGGGAGGATGGATTTGATCATAGAAGCATGTATTGAAATATTTTGCTAAAGTCATTAATATATATGATTAATACATATTTGTAAATAAAATATTTTATTAAAAAAAGAATTGCAGATTCTCTAATGGCAAGTGAGATAATGCTGTCCAAAGCAAGGGAACACTCCACCATACCAGCACAGCTGTGCAGAAAGCTCAGGCCTCGAAAACCAGGTCCGGGATGCCCTGGTTGGACTTGAGGCAACATCCAAGAAAACTGTGGATGCATACAATGTCAGGAGGAAGAATAGTCAATGGGTATTTAATGATCATCTTCTAGATGGATGCTGCTGCTGCCCCTTGAACTTTGCTTCCTCTGTGATCCGCCCTGATAGTCTGTGCCCAGCAAGGGGGAAAGGATCAGTGGCTAGTGGATGAGTGGAAGACGAACTTGACAACATGGCGTGAGGACAAGTGCAGGCCCTTGAAGGAACAATTGAGGCAGGAGAATGAGTCTTTATTGCGTTAGGTAACTGATGAACTCATTCCTGTATTAGAGTTACTCTCTCTGATTTGGTAAGCATTGAGCTCAGGACTCTAAAGACAAGGTAAATATTGCCTTTTTCAAAACATTTTTTTTGCCAGTCTTGGGGCTTGAACTTAAGATCTGCATGCTGTCCCTAAGTCTCTTTATGATCAAGGCTAGTGCTCTACCACTTCAGCTACAAGGTTACATCTGGCTTTTTCTGAGCAGCTTATTAGAGATAAGAGTCTCACAGACTTTCCTGACCAGGCTGGCTTTGAACTGTGAGCCTCAGATCTCAGCCCTCCGAGTAGCTAGGGTTGTAGGCATGCGCTACTGTGGCACCCAGTTGATTGCCTTTTATTTTATTTTTTTGAATGGGCACATTTTAGATCTTAGTAGTGGCAGCTCCTCATTACAAAGGAGTGTCTGTCTGCAAGAGGATGGATTCCTAGTCTCAGTGGCCCATCCCTACAGGATGGGGGGAGGGGAATAACCTGGAGGTGGAAGGGGATGCTTCTAGACACCATTCCAGTCCTGCTGGTGGCCTGAGAGCAACTAGCTGGGAAGGAAGAGACCTAGGTCTGGCCTCACTGGTGTACAAATGTCAGCCAGGTGCCCGCAGTGGCCCTGATCAATTCTAAGCAGCTGACCCAGCAGCTTTTCAAGGCTGTCACACAGACTCTGATCGCCACACTCACTTGTCATGTTCTGGCCAAGCCAGAGACAGCTCTTTGTCCAGCATCCAATAGTGTGTGCCAGACTGGAGGGAATTCAACCAACCTGTAAGATTCTGCATCTGGTGGACTCTGAATAGGGGACATTGAGAATAGGAAGTCATAAACCACTGCCTCAAGGGATCATGTGGTCTCTAGGGAAATGCTGAAGAGTGTCTGGAGCCCTGCTCCCTGCATTTCTTCCTGCAGCTGAGTTCCTTTCTGTAAGATCTCAGGCATCCTAAGCCTTCACCAACAGAGGACAGATTTGATTTCCTGTTCCCTCTAATTTTCCTTATCCTATGTCCCCATTAACTGAAGGAGCTAGGCTTGTTCCTCATACCAGTGTGAGACAGACAGACATACAATTTAGCAGTCTGGCCAAGTGCCAGGGACAAGTCAATTCTCTGGCCTTGGATCTCATGAATGGATTCTCAGTGGGCCTTCACCTGCACAGGGAGCTAGCTACCTTCTAAGTTTGCTATTAGATATTGGGTTAGGATTTTTCAAGTTCACGTGTTGAAGTCTTAACCCCTAATGTTTCAGGTGTGATCTCATTTGGAATCAGGCTTTTTTTTGTTGTTGTTGTTGTTGGTTGTGGGGCTTGAACTCTGGGCTTGAGCGCTGTCTCTGAGCTCTTCAGTTCAAGTCCAGCACTCTACCACTTGAGCCACAGTTCCACTTCTGGTGTTCTGGTGTTTAATTGAAGATAAATGTGTCCCTCCCCACTGTATAACCCCTGCTTTCACTGTATTTGATGTTGTTATAATTTGTGGAGGGGAAGGGAAAAAACAAATCGTTTAAATAGGGATACAGGTGGACCCATTGCAACAATGAGACGTACAAGTTGTTATGTCGAAAACGAACTTTACAACTTTGGTGGCGGGGGGGGGGGGGGGGGGGGTGGGGGGGGGAGGAGTAGGGGAGGATGGGATGGGAAGGGGAAACAAAGGAGGAGGCTACAATGCTTGATAAGAAATGTACTCATTATCTTGCCCATGGAATTGTAACCCCTCTGTACAGTATTTTCACAATAAAAAAAAAAAGAGTTTCACGACCTTCCTGCCTGGGCTGGCTTTGAACTGTAATCCTTAGATCTCAGCCTCCTGAGTAGCTAGGATAAAAGGTGTGAGCCATCAGTGCCCATGGAGACGGGCTTTTTTTTTAAAAATAAAAACAATCAAGTAAAAATGAGACTAGGGTAAACCCATGTTCTTATAAAAAAGGAGAATTTAGCTAGGCTCTGGTGGTCCATGCCTGTAAGCCTAGCTACTCAGGAGGCTGAGATATGAGGATTGTGGTTAAAGGTTAGCCCAGGCAGGAAAGTCTATGAGACTCTTCTCCAATTAAGCACTAGAAATCGAAATGGAGCTGTGGCTCAGATTGGTAGAGCACTAGCCTTGAGCAAAATTGCTCAGGGACAATATCCAGTGCCTGAGTTCAAGTCCCAGGACTGGCACAAAAATAGATAGATAACTAGCTAGCTGATAATCGAAACTTGTTTGGTGTCAGTGGCTCACACCTATAATCCTAGCTACTCAAAAGACTGATGTCTGAGGGCCCCAGTTTGAAGCCAGCCTGGGCAGCATGGCCAGGAAAGACTGTGAGACTCTTACCTCCAATTAACCAGCAATTAGCTAGAAGTGGAGATATGGCTTAGGTAGTAGAGCCCCTGACTTTACCAGAAAAAAAAAATGCCATGTGTAGATTCAGTTACACTGCTACAACTAGAAGAATCACTGGAAACTGGAACATGTTCTTTCTACCCAGCCCACAGAAGACAAATCTTGACCTTGAGCTTCCGGCCCCTACAACTGTGACACAACAGGTGCTTCATCTTGGCAGCCCTAGTATGCTGCGTCTTTCCGTTCCAGCTGCAGAAGCTGGTGCCCTGCAAACCAGGCTGGGCATGATGTGGCAGGGCTACTAACCAGGCCTGTTGGGAGGCGCTGGGTGTGAGAGGAGGTGGTAATGCTGTACTCACAAGATACTGGGCCCTGTGGCCCCTTGGAAGGCTCTGTTGTGCATCTTCTCCAGGCGTCTGTTTTCTTTTAGCTCCCTGTTGGGGAAGAACAGTTTCCTTAGTGGAGTTTGTACCTTGCGGTCCAGCATTCACGAGTGTATATTTGATTTCTGCTCTGTACTTGGGGATGTGTGGGATGAAGAGGCATAGTAAGAAAAGATAAGGAACTGTAGCAATAGTAGAAAAAGACATGCTAGTCCTTGATGAACTGTGTGAATTCAGGCTGACCTTTCCTTTGCACTTTCCCTCTCACTTGGTGGAGCTCTTTGTCTTGCAACTTAAAGAATTTACCCCCTCCCTCCCCCATTGGAAATGTGAAGATTTGCTAGCAGGCAGCTGAGAGAAGAGGGAAATGCTGCCCCAAGGCCAAGGCTGAATGGTTCAAGTGCAGCTTCTATCTGCAGCTGCAGGGAGAGACCTTGGAGGTCTCAGAGTCAGTACCAACACACGGAACTTTGCAAGTCGTTAGGGGAGAACCTTTCCTATGTTTTCTCTTTCATAATGCATCTGCAATTCTTTCTTTGTGATATTCCTTCTCAGTGTGTGAGAGCAGGGAGGAATCCCAGCCAGGGCAGGACACTGCTGCAAACTCTGGGTGTGTGAATGGATGGTCACTGCCAAGTATGTGTGCTATGGAAAGACAGGTGTTGATGGCCACTGTTCTTCAGGCTATGGATGGATCCCAAGGCTACAGGGGCCATAGCTGGTGGGAGATGGAATGGGAGCTCTGGGCCTTGAGGTCAAAGTGGCTCAGTCTACAGGGCTCAGGAACAGCTCAGTCGGGTCCTGCAGAGAAGCCCCTTGCCTGGGCTCTGATGCAGGTTCCTGCAAGCACAGGCTTTTCTCTGGGTGAACAAAAGATCTAGGAAAGATAATCCTTGGTTTGGGATGCCAGCATTTGGGGGAGCACTTTCTTTCTATAAGACAAAGATAGTGACTCAAAGAGTATTCTGGAGCGCCTTGGGAAGCAGGTCCAGTGTTTATGTATCTGTTGTTTCTGTGGTAATTCGAGTCATGAGATCAAGAACCTTCTACCCCATCATGACAGTGTGACATGGCCAAATAAAACAAAGCAAAGATGCACCATTACCCAATGTCACCCCGGCAGGCTAGGCAATTATAGGCATTTAAAACCTGCCAAAGCTCCTACATCTCACTCTGGGTAGAACTGCTGCTACCCAGCTTCTTCCGTGGAAACCCTCAGCTCTGTCATCACATGCACCTGTCAGACTCCCAGCCCCCATCCCTTGGGTGTATTTCTACTTTCAAAGAGATGAGGTTGTCAGAGTCAATTGCTGTTTAAAATCCAAAATCAAAAGACGTTTCTCTTTCTTAAACTGCCATCACTCTTCCTCCTGATTCGGTTTGTTTTATTTACCTTCAGTTCTAGTTACAAATGGGCTGAAGATGGGCTCTCTGAACCAATAGTCTCAGGTCAGCCAGGTCACATTAATTGGTCAATTTCATGAACATTTCTGATGGCCTCTTAAAACTCAGATCTTCCTGTGTACTGTTAGCTAAACTATTATGTTGTTTAAAATACTCAGTATATGTTCCTAAGTGTCACTTTTGAGAATTCTCTCTAGACATGGGATCTTTGGGGTGCGAGAAGCATGGACAGGATGTTAATTTGAGACACAATGGGAGAAACCACCTCCCAATCCCTACCCCACCCCACCCCGACAAATCCTCCTAACTGGGTGCTCTGGGGATGGTAGAGACTAAGCCCTAGACCCCTGTGGGTATCTGAGGTAGCCTTCTGGTTCAGTTCCCCTCTCCCTGGGCACCCTGAACAAGTTGGCCATTTGAGGGCTATGTGAAGCTTCCCTCTCATTATTCTGAAGAACTTTGGACAGGTTTATATATGAGGAAGGTGTCAGGGGCTGGGCTCAATGTGTTGTATGAAAACGTGGCTTCACAGTTTGGAAAAACACTCTGCCCAGTTAAAACCTTCAGTGGATGTCTTTGTCCTTAAAGAAATTCAGTCTTTCCCTCTCTTCTCTGTCCTGCAGGACCGGATTCTGCTCCATCTCCAGCTTCATCCCATGTCAGTCTTCCCCTTACCAAAGATCTTCCAGCTATAGGGACCTCTTCTCAGTTCCTGAGACTTACCAACTTTTCTTTCTTCACTCAGGACCTTTGCATATGCTGCTCTTGCTTTGGATATGGCACTTCTCACTCTTGCATGGTGGACTCCTAGTCATCCTGTAATCTCAGCCTAAATATCCTATCCTGCATCAGGCCATCCTCAAGTACCTTGCCTAAGCTGACCATCCCTCCTTCCATACTTTCAGATCTCAGTAATGGGTTATGCCCTTCATAGTATGGCTCATGAGCTTTTACTACATTTATTTATTTATTAAGTTTATCTGTTTTGTCTCTTCTGGTAGAAAAGGAGCCACATGAAGGCAGAGACTTCCACACAATTTCTTCACACCCAATATTAATACAGTTCCTAGTATGTTGGAAGTACTTAATAAATATTTGTTGGATGAATATATGAATGAAGTTGATTGGTGTTCTTGGCAAACATTTGTGTTCTTGGGGTCCTATTTCTTGCTACAATGAAGTGCTGGGGGACATAGAATTTTTGACTAGTTTGACTGGAGCCATTGTGGTACTTTTTTTTTTTTTTCTGGTTGTGGGGCTTGAGCTCTGGGCCTGGGTGCTGTTCCTGAGTTCTTTAGTTCAAGGCAAGTGCTCTCCCACTTGAGCCACAGGGCCACTTCCAGCTTTAGGATGATTGATGGACTTTTCTGCCTGGGTTCGCTTTGAATCATGATCCTCAGATCTTAATCTCCCGAGTAGCTAGGATTATAGGCATGAGTCATTTGTACCTGGCTCAAACTGAAAGATCTTCTCTTTCTCCCTCCCTCCCTCTCTCTCCCATCCTTTCCTTTCCTTTCCTTTCCCTCCCTCCTTCCCTCCCTCCCTCCCTTTCTCCCTCCTTTTCTTCCTTCCTTCCTTCCTTCCTTCCTTCCTTCCTCTTTCCCTCTCTTTTTCTTTCTCTTATTTTTTTTTTTTTGTGTGTGCTGGTACTGGGGCTTGAACTCAGGGCTTGAGAACTAACCCTTAGCTTTTTGTTCAAGGCTGGTCCTCTACCACTTGAGCCACACCGTCATTTCCCTAAGGTTTTGTTACAGACAACTGTAGTGTGATGGGCATGTCACCCTGTACCTGTAATGGATCATGCACCGCCCCATGCTTGAGAGTGTGATATTATCCTGGAAGAGGAGCCACAGAGAGAAGAGAGTGAGAACAATGAAGGGAACAGTCCTTGGGGGCCATCCTGTCCCCATCCCAAGTTAAAGCTATTACAGCTGGACTTGGGGAGGAGTGCAGAGAAACAAAGAACTTCTCACTCTGTAGAAAGGAACTGCCTCCCCATAAGAAAGAGGGAGATGGGTCTCTCTGTCTCTGAAGAAGGGGCTGTGGTGGCTGATTAGGCTGGGAAATAGTGTCACTGGGTTTCTTTTCAATGGGTCCTGGGGAAGAATTTCCTCCTGAAATATGCTGCATCTGACATACCATCAACCCGAGCGAGGGGGGCTAGAGAGGAGAGCTGTGAGGTGCAGGAGGCAATAAGTAGTGTGTTGAATATTTCAACAAACTGTCAACTTCAATGTATGGAGGCTGCATCTGTCTTTGAAATCAGGGTACTCTGGGGCTTCCAGCCAACCAGTTGCCTAGTAACGTACATGAAGCACTGAGGACTAGCCACTTGAAAGTTTATTTATTTTTTTGCCCTGAGTTGGTTGTTGAAGATTGAATGTGATCTGGTAGCCAGAGTAATACTTCATTTTTATTCATGAGCTAGGGAAATAAGCACATACTTACAGTGAAATTAGCGTCGTCCCATTGAACGCGTGGCTTTGTATTTCTTCAAATCCATTTCCATATAGTTTGCTGAAGGAGAGAGGAGAAATGGGTTAGGAATTGGGAAAAGGAACTGAAACATAGTTTAGAAGCACACATTCTTCCTCTCGTGGCATTTATTACCAAGAGAATCACCAGAATTCACAATATCTAGCACCGTTTCTCTAACATTTCAGACTCTAGTACATTGCACTGTGTTTTCTGCTCTGGTTTACTTTATCTTTCACCATCAACACCAATTTATTAAGTACTTATTAGGTGCCAGCTCCTTGATCATGTGCTACCATATGCCTATTTTCTGATTCAGTTCTCATCAACATTTCCATTATAAAATGAAAAAAAAACCCTCAAAGCTTCCATATTGCTACTTGGCTTGCTGATGGTGTCAGGGAAACAATGGAGAGCTGGGATGTGAGGCTCAGTCTTCTCCAGCTCTGTGGTCTTCTCCCTCTAGGGCTTCCTAATCTGCTGAGAGCTGAGGGCAGAGCAAGGTACACAGATCCTGAGATACCTTTTCTTTTTCTTGGATGAGAATGTGGACTAGCTTATGCTAAGTTTCTACAGAGTGAATGTCTGTGAGCAGTTCTTGAAAGATCCATTCATGGACAATGAAATAAATTTAGTTGAGTGCAATCTGAATTTTTAAAAGGTGGAGTAGAACAAGTGGGAAGTTGATGAGTATAGTGCAAATAGGAATGAATACTTATAAAATTTTATCCATCTCAACACCTGTTTATGATAAAAAGCTCTGGAGAAGCTAAGAAGTCTGCAGCCAGCGTTTTACTTAATAGTGAAAAGTTAAAACCATCCCTCTAAAATCAGGAACAAATACGAGGATGTCCACTCTTTCTACTCCTCTTCAATATAGTACTGGAGTACTGAAATTCCTAGCAAGAGCAACAAGGCAAGACAAAAACATAAAGGAGATCCAAAGAGGGAAAGAAGTAAAACTTTCCCTCTTTTAAAAAAATATATATTTTATTGTAAAGATACTGTACAGAGGGATTACAGTTACATGAGTAAGGTAATGAGTCCATTTTCTATGGTGCATTGTTACACCCTCCTTTATTGTTCCCCTACCATCCCTTTCCTCCCCCCCCCCGAAAAGTTGGAAAAATTTTTTTCAATATACTGTCTTGTACATCTCATTGTTACAAAGGGTCATCCTATATCCTTATTTCAAGCATTTTGTTATTTCCCTTCCCCTCCCCAAATTAGAAAAATGTGTATACAAGATGCAGGACACCAGAATCAAATACAGTGACAACAGGGCTTGTACCATGGGGGAAGAACATACAAAGAAACCAAAAAAATCACATAGTACATTATAAGTACATTAAAAAGAACAGCAACAAGATGATATAATCCTGTATTTAAAGAACACCACAGACTTCTCTCCCAAGTCACTTGAGCTGATCCAAAACTTTGGAAAAGTAGCAGGGTGTAAAATTAACCCACAAAAATCAGTAGTTTTTCAGTATGTCAACAATAAGAAGATTGAGACTGAAATTAGGAAAACAAGGCCCTGCATAGCAAAAACAATCCTTAGCAGGAAGGACAGTGTTGGAGGAATATCAATACCAAACTTCAAACTCTATTACAAGCCATAGTAATAAAAACAGCTTGGTACTGGCCTGAGGACCAATGGAACAGAACAGAAGTCCCAGAAATAAACCCACACACCTGTAGCCAGCTAATATTTGATAAGGGTGCCAAAAACACAGGATAGAAGAATCTTTTCAACAAATAATGCTGGCAGAATTGGCTATACACATGCAGAAAACTGAAGCTAGATCCTTATATCACCCTGTACCAGAAACAATTCTAAATGGATCAAAGACATCAATGCAATACCAGATACCATGAAAAGATTACAGGAAGGGGTAGGGGAAACACTAGGGCATTTATCCAATAGACCACTAACCAGGCCACACTAAAGCTACCAGCACAACTAAGTTCATTGCAGCATTGTTTACTATAGACAAAATATGGAATTAACCCACATGCTCCTCAGTGGATGAATGGCTCAAGAACATGTGGTATATGTACACAATCAAATTCTGTACTTCATTAGAAAGGAGGATATTGCCCCATTTATAAGGAAATGGAAAGACTTGGAAATAAATTATATTAAACAAAGTAAGCCAGATCCAAAGAAACATAGGTTGCATGTTTCCCCTCATTTGTAGTAATTAAAATGTATCTATGAACCTATAGGTAAACACGACGGAATGGTAAAAGACAAAAAAATACACTTGTATATGATAAATTAAACAGGACTCCAACCATTTGCACAGTGAGACCAAAGAAGGATATTCTTAGGAGAGGATCACATGGGCTTGATAGCTATGTATATATGATCATATAAAATGAGGTTTATTGAAATAAACTCCAAGAAATGGAAACAAAAGTTTTTTTTATTTTACTCTTTATGGATTTTTTGTTTATCCTCTTTGTCACTATTTTTGATTTCTGTATTTTTTTGTCTTGTATATAAACTTACCTGATTTGGAGAGGGAATGGGAGAGCACAGAAATGGAGGGATAAAGAGTGAACAAATGCAGCAGTGATATTCACTAGACACCATGTTGAAATGAACTACAAAATGTGTGTGTGGGGGGGGGAGGTTGGGGAAAATTAGAGAAAATGAGGAAAGAAGTGACACTTTTCAAAAACAAATTTACTTATTACCTAACCTATGTAGCTGTAACCCCTCTCTATATATCATCTTTACAATAAAAATTTTTAAAAAACTGTCCATTTTATGTAGAAAATAAACACATACACACATATACACACACCACACACACACAGAAACAGAGACATGAGAGGCTCTTTGGAACACAGATGCTGGAAAGTGGCAGGCAGAAATGAGCCTGAAATGCTTGAGCAGATCGGCTTTATTTCACAAAGAAGGAAAGAGGTTCAGAGAGATCAAGTAATCTTGCTCACTAGTCTGGAACAGGACCAGAGACACATTATGTGGGCTATTTCCAGTGTCTCAGTATTATGGTTGGTTGGGGACCCTGCCCTAATACCCTCAATGCCCATCTACCTTATAACTGTAGGGTTGGGTTATATAGTGGCCTTCTTTAGCTGCCCTACTTAAAATCAGTAAACATTAGATCAGCATACATTGTACATGTATGTTGAAATATCCCATACCACCCTGTAAATTTATATGTTCAATAAATACACTTTAAACCTTCGTTCCTCCACCTCCCAAAACCTGGGGCCTATGATGCCAAGTGAGCTGAGCTTCCTTGGCAGAGAGTGCCTTCCTTGGCTTTCCTTGCTCTTCTGGAATTCTAAGCTTACCAGAGTAACTCCTACCTCTGACTTGTACTGGATTATGGAGTGCCATTTTCTTAATGCTTTCTGTATCATTTTCTATTGGAGAATATGAAAAGATAAGTACTTGTTTTTTTTTTTTTTTTTTACCTTTTTTTGTGTGGAGAGGGATCGTTAATCACATATCACCTTCTTGCCTTCTTAGCAACTTAACCCCGTGGGGCCTTCTACAAAGTTTTATAGTTAGACTATTATTCTTCGTCAATCTCTCTGTCATTTGAGTGAGGGGTGATTTAATTTTTGGAACTCTTTTAAATGTAAGAATCATATCTCACTTTTCTCAGAACTTCTTTGAAATTTGAGTCTAAGCTAGAATGTGTTCAAGCACTCACCTCCATCCTTTGAATCTGAATTGACAAACCTGGACTGGTTTGTCAAAAATGCAGACTCCGAACAACAACAGATCTGCTTTATGGGCCTGCCACACCACTCTTGGACACTTCATATTCAAAGGAGTATACATCAATATACAAGAGAGTTACCTTTGTACACATGTTTATTGAAGCTCTGCTCACAATGGCCAAGTGGTGGAATCAGCTATGATGCTCAATGACCAATGGATAAAGAAAATAATATGTATTACATACCATGTAATAGTAGTCAGCCATGCAGAACAACTGATGTTATTTGTAGGAAAATGGATGAAACTACAGTTGTGTTTTGTGAGAGATATCAGGCTCAATGGAAAGAAATGAAAAAAGAGAACTATCTGAGCAAGGGATAATCATTAGGGAGGGGGAAAGAAAAGGATACTGAGGGTTATAGAGATCAGAGGACCCTCCCCTCTCTCTCTGTCTCTCTGTCTCTCTGTCTGTCTGTCTCTCTCTCTCTCACACACACACACACATGAAGACTGCATAGTGAAACCTACCGAACACTGAAAAACAGGGAGAAGGCAAAGTGTATGGGACTATAATGGAAGAGGTGAACTTGTTCAAAGTATAGTGAATGCATCTACGCAATTATCACAGTGAAAGCTCCTCAGTAAGGTTTGGCCATTCAAAAATAAAATTTAGGAAAAAAATAATATATTAAAAAAAACTTAGAAAGTGCAACTCAGACCTACTGACCAGGCACAATACAGAAGGAATGGACTGGAACCAAGGAGTGCTCTCTAGGAATAAGCACTTTCACAACAATCTCTGCCACTGAGGGTCAGACATGACAGTGTGGGAGCCCTTGCTAGAGTGCTGTTATCTTTTCCTTGCTCAACACTAGAGTCTAGTCCTCTTACTGCTTTCTTTACCTCCTAAAAGGTGGAGCTACATTTCCAGTGGGTCAAGGGCCTGGATTCCATCCCCAGCACTGCCAACTAAATAAAAAAGGGAAGAGAAAGTAGCCTGTCTGTTTTTGTTTTAACCAGAACAAAGCTGCTTGTAGTCATCTGCATGCCTCTCCTTTTTCACTGTTCTCTGCTACCCAGATACATATTAGATTTGATCTTTTTGCTGTTGGACTCATATTACCATTCCTCTGAGTACAACCTTTTGATTCAGCCCATAGACATTGAATCTATTGAAAAACAGTCTTTTGGACAAGTTACTAAGGATCTCTGTGCTTAAGTTTGCTAATCTGAAACTAAGGATGATTAATAAGAGTATCTATTAGAGAATATGAAAAGATAAGTATTGTTTTATTTCTGTTATATTGGGGGGGAGATAATCACATATAACTTCAGA